CCCCAAAACCCCAAAACCCCAAAACCCCATTTCAGAAAATAATTATTGAAATATTTCTGTGAGGAATAAAAATGAAGAGTCAGAACTTAAAGTCGATCAATAACAAAAGAGGTAGGATAAGTTCTAGACTAGTCTGAAATGGCCTCACACATTATTTAGTTGAGCTTCCGAAGCTCCGTAAACTTCAGAACCAGAGCAATAGCTTGAAACGGAAAGAGGGTAAAGAGTAAGCAAGACTTTTAACGTCTAGGCAGCTTCTTGACGAGGACTATGGCATTTCATGTGCACTTAATAATCCGAAAATGAGGAGGATAATGGAGAGTTTTGGGACTCATAATAGATCCCAAGGTAGCCATTTAATTTGAATTTGGTTTTTTGGTCAATGATTTTCTTGCTTGTTAATCAATTATAGCATTTAAGAAGTCTAGCTCAAATTCTAGGGTCTATCACCCTTCTAAGTGGAGCAAGAATGGATGGAAATATATTGATAAGGCGAAAATTAAGAACTCTTATAACAAAAAGATTGATATGATTGGGAATTATAGTCTTCAAAGGTCAAAAGATGACTTGAGTAACGACTCTAAATCAACTTATCAAGAGTAAATAACAGCTTTTAACATCTTAGACTGCATTGATCAGTGAGGAAGAACCTTAGTCTAGTAATTACGCTTAATAATAGCCTAGACTGCACTGAAATAAGTTGAATCCTAACTTTAGTATGAAGGGGTATCATCATAAACGAAATCTGAAGTACCCTCCTCTGATATGCAGCAGCCCTCAGGATCATTACTTCATAGATTCTGAAAATTCAGGTAAAATTCAGATCAAATTTTAGGTAAATAGGTTAGCTCAGAAGCATGCAATGGACTGGAGATCGATGTCTTTGGACAAATCTGATAGGGTATTGCTACATCTGCTTAACTATTTTAGTCCAGGAGCACAGACAAGGACCTGACTTCCCTCAGCATCCAGGTACTTGCCTCTGTTTATATATTTTAGTATGAAGAAAACTCACGCAAATAATTCGTAATTTTGGGACATAACCATTGTTTTAGGAAGCCAAGAGCAATCGAAAGGACTCTGGTAGGCACTCTTGGGCTCTCTAAAGATCTCAGAAAGGTAGAAAGCATGAACAGAAAGTAAGCCTTCGACTTATAGTCAAATGTAGAGGTAGATACAAGCTTTGGGGAGGCATGCGAGTCCCTCAGCAGGAAGGATACTTCAGAAGGGATAAGAGGAACGTTGATGTTGAGATCAGCTCATTCTTGAAGAAACATTATGGCAAAGGGATGTTTTAAATCTGTGAAAGTTTCAATATTAATAAGCAGATTTGGGGTTTTGGGGTTTTGGGGTTTTGGGGTTTTGGGG